CCTGCGGGCATCCGGCAGCCATCTGTTGGCAACCTAACCCCCCTGGGGGGGGCCTTTTCCATCGTGGCTCTGTGGAAGGGGATCTCTGACCGTGTGTGTGTGTGTGTGTGTGTGTGTGTGTGTGCCCCCTTCTTGTTTGGTGTCGTGGTTAAGTGTGCGGACTCTAATCTGGGAGAACCGGGTTTGATTCCCCACTCCTCCACTTGCACCTGCTGATGTGACCTTGGGTCAGTCACAAGCTCTGGCACAGCTGTCCTTGAAAAAGAGCCGTTTCTGTCAGAGTTCTCTCAGCCCCACCCACCTCACAGGGTGTCTGTTGTGGGGAGGGGAAGGGAAAGGAGTTTGTAAGCCGCTCTGAGACTCCAAGTGAAGGGCATGGGGTATAAATCCAATCTCTTCTTCTTCTTCTTCTTGGAGATCTTCAGCAGGCCCCGCAAGGCTGGATTGTTTTGCCAGGGTCTGGGATGGGGGGAGGTGAATGGCAGGCATCTTTTAGGGGGGGGGAGAGGGGATTTGGGGCTTGTTATTTCATTTTTCTTTTAAACTGAAAATGTTCTTAACCGTTATCGCAGGCCGCCTTGAACCACGAGGAAAGGGAGCTTGTTACTGTTTCAATAAATGAAAATTTAAAAATCAAGGCCGGCGGCTTCGCTTGTGAAAATTTCCCTTCCTGTTTGCACGGTGAAACGGTGAAGTTCAACCTTCACTGGCCATTGGGGCTCCCCGTCTCCCAAGGGGGTGGGAGGCAGCGTTGCAAAAGACAGCTGGAAGCAACCGATTGTTTCTCCGGAGCAGGTGTCCAGTTCCAGCACATCGTGGTGGAAAAGAAGGGAGCCAAGGAGAACGTGGGCGTGATCCAGCTAAACCGTCCCAAGGCCCTGAACGCCCTTTGCGACGCCCTCGTGAAGGAAATCAACCAGGCCCTGGACTCCTTCGAGCAGGACGCTCACGTGGGGGCCATCGTCATCACCGGCAGTGAGAAGGCCTTTGCAGGTAGGAGGGGGAACCAGCACCCTGGGGCGTGAACTGGCAGGAGCGTTTGGGATCCCTGGTTCTGTTGGCGGGGGAGGCGGTGTGTTGGGCTTGCTGTCCTGGGTGGGACGTGGGCACCGGCGGTTCCTCTGCCCGCCCGCCTGCCCTGGGCCACATCCTGGGCAGTTGTGCTCACAGCATGTCAAAGAAAGCCCTGATCTAGGGCCCGACTTCAGGTTGGGGTGATGTGTCTGAGAACGAGGAACAGCAGGGTGGTTGGAAAAGGAGAGTGTGACTGAGGGTGTGGTCTTGAGAAGTCCACATGATCCCATTGTGAATGCCCTTCCCCACAACCTCCACAGAAGGTTTTCAGTGGCCTCTAGGAAGCCGAAAGTTGCCGCTAGTCTGAGCCGGGGGGTGGCTTCTTGCCTCCCCAGGGCCGAGCCCGCCTTCCACCGCCCTTTGGCCCAGGTCCACTCCAGCGTGGGCCAAGGCTCCCTTTAAGCCATGGAGTCTTGTGAGCAAAAATTCTACTTTGTGAGCTCCTGGCATTCAAGTTGTGCGCGAGCGATTTGGCTGCTGCATAAATCAGCTTGCTCTGGAGCCCTCCTTCCTGAGCGGAGACAAACATCTGTGAGTCGGAGGCTGAAAAGCTGTGAGCTGGCTCACACTAACTCAGCTTAGAGGGAACACTGGCGTGGGCTAAGGACGGAGCCTGAGTTGCTCGAAACCTGCCTGTTGTGCTCTCCGCTCTTTGTGTGATGTCCTAACACCAAGCCTCTTGCAGCGGGAGCAGATATCAAAGAGATGCAAGACAGGACCTTCCAGGAGTGCTACAGTGGGAACTTCCTGGCTCACTGGAACAGAGTCTCCACCACCAAGAAGCCGGTCATAGCTGCCGTTAACGGATACGCGGTGAGTTTTTGCACGGTCTTCTTTCCATCTGATCTCAGCCTGCAATTAAGAATATTTCTGCTTTGAAAATCTGTCTTACAGTCAAGGGTTTTTTTTCCGTGGGTGGTTCAAAAAGCCAACAGGGAAGAGCAGCTCAGCCCCTAGAGATGTGAAGGCCCGGGGGGAAAACGGAAAAATTCGAGGGGAAACCTGTTCTTTTCCGGTTTTTTCCTTACACCTTTTTTGTTTCCCCCCGAAAGATTGAAAAAAGAAAAGGGAAAAAAATGATTATGGAACATTTTATTTTACCACGATGAATAAAATTTTTAACACGATGAATAAAATATTTTAAGACAAGGTGTTCAAATATTTTCCAAATCGTTTCTAAAAAATATGTATGGTATCAGATTGACCTAATTTCTGTGCATTGAGGACAAGCAAGTCCTAGGTTACCAACTGAACTCTCCAATGCAGGGAGGGAGAACTGTCTGTCACTAAAGTTTACTTGGGTCCCAATCCATAGCTTACTACATTTGCCACCTTAACGTTCTCCCTGGAACGCCATCGTATAGGTGGTTAAGATTTTACATTTTTGAATGCCCGATCTTACTGTTCTGTAACCAGTGCCATAACCCACCCTGAGCCCTTTTGCAGGAAGGGCGGGATAGAAATTGAACCAAATAAATAAATTTCTGCAGAGGTGGCAGGTGATGTTTTTGTTCCCTCCCTCCGACCGGTCCCTCTCAGGCATTATCCCAGGACAGACCAGAAGGGGGAATTGTGCAACTTCCCAATGAGCAGTGTCCCCACGGCGCGCTGTCACCTTTCTTGACTCTCTCCCTAGAGTATAGCCCTTCTGATAATACATTTTTAAAAAATTATCCAACAGCTTGGCGGTGGCTGTGAGCTGGCCATGATGTGCGACATCATTTACGCGGGAGAAAAAGCACAGTTTGGGCAACCCGAAATCCTCCTGGGAACTATTCCAGGTAAAGCTGCCCTGGGGGAAGAGTCGGGGTCACGGGGACCCGCTCGGTTTCTCCTTTTGCAATCAGGCAACCCCTCCTTTGCTGTTTTTACCCGTTCAGTGAGGTGGGGTGGGGAGCTATCTTTTCCCTTTACAAACGTTTTAAAACTGACTCACGTTCATAATTGGTCTTCTGACCTCGCTTTCGGCTTCATTTCTGACGCTCGATCTCCTGCGCTTGCCCTGGTCGGTGTCACTTAAGTCCATTCGGTCTCTCAGCACGGAGAACCATCAGAACGAAGAGGTGCCTCAATTCTCCGTCATTCCGCCATTGAAGAGGCAACCTCTTATAAGTTCCATGGCCAGGGTCCCTTCGTTGGGTCCCTGGGGGGGTTAATGAGCCTGCGCACCCCCTCCTTCGGCTGGAGCGCAGCTTCACCCCCAGGAGGTCCGGGAGGTGAGTCTGCTAGCGCGCCGCCATCAACCGGAAGTCCCTCCTTTTCTGTTTTTAGAACATTTGTTCATTCCACACATGAGATGGACAACATCTTTGCAACGGCTGTAAAAGGAGACCAGTGCATTGGTTTGCATACATGCATCCAGTCCGTCTGCCCCTGCTGGTGCCCCGTGCATAACCCCTTCCCAGTTGTTCTGGGGTGGGGGTGGGGGGCTTGTGGTCAGTCTCACTGCTTCCAGCCAGCTTCGTGGAAGGTGGAGATCCCTCGCTGCTGACTGCATTGTGGACTCTCTCCTCCAAATGAGACAGTTTATAGATGTTGGGATTCTTTGATTCAGGGTTGATGGTCGTATTGCAAACACAAGAGCACACACTTAGTAAAAGAAAAATATATTTACTATAAAACAAAATAAAACATGGGTAGGGTACTTTGGATAAGAGAAATAAAATAAAAGGTTACATACTTGCAGTTACTCTCAGTAATATATGCTAACGGCTACATCTTTCTATCTGTCTTGGCTTCTAGAAGAGAACTACCGCTTTGGTTCACACAAAGGGCCGTAAACCTTGTGAATACATGAATGCTAGATCAAAGCATTTCCACAAACAAGTTGTTAGTTGACCAGTACAAAGGTTACAGGTCACTTCAGTAGGGTAAACAACTCCCACAAACTTTCCCGGTAGAATACATGATGTAATGTAACATCCTGTTTCCTAACAAACAACATTTAACTCTGTAATGGCTGAAGTGTAAGCAACTTGCAATTCCAACAATAGGTAACCTTCCCACACTTTCCTTGAGACTTACAAAGCCAGACATGCGCCTGTAAAGAGAAGTCTTTTTTGTTTATCAGAGGAGAACAGGAAAGACTTATCTTTGGGAAGGGGCCGTGGCTCAGTGGCAGAGCCTCTGCTTGGCACGCAGAAGATCCCTGGTTCAGTCCCCGCCATCTCCCATTAAAAGGCCCAGGCAGTGGGTGATGGGAAAGACCTCTTGCCTGGGACCCTGGAGAGCTGCTGACAATCTGAGTAGACAGAGTGACCTTGATGGACCTCTGTTGACTTTGAGTAGACAGCTTGAGCTCTTCTGGCAGCAGGAACCCATGATGCTGCCTGGGGTTACAGTTGCATAGGAAGTGGCGGCGGGGTGGTGGTGGTGGTCAGTGACGAGGACAGGCAGGCCGGCCGGCCTGTGAAACCATCCGCTGCAGCCTTCAGGCCAAGCCACCGTCTCGGCCCCCTTTCAGGAGGCTTCTTGGCTTCGATCCCGGCTGGCTCTCCTTCCAGCGCCTCCTGCGCACAGCCCTTTGTAGAGGAGACCTTCACCGTGGTCCCTGGCCCCAGGGAGATCCGGCGGTCCTCGGCCAGACCCAAGGCTTGCTTGCCCCCCCGGCTCCGACCCGGTGGGACTCTCTGCCAGCTCCCGTCAGGGCCC